ACTCAAATCCGTTGTAACAAGAAATATGCTGTGGCGAGGTTTGACTGTAATATATAAAAAAAAATTAATAAATGCAGTGTTGTGACCAGAAACTCTTTTGGCTTCCCGAAACGTTTCGGAAAATGAACTTACACTAAGCAGAAACTAAACCTAAACATAAACCTAAACATAAAATACTAACCTAAACTAGTTTCGGTGGTTTCTGTTAGTTTCTGTTTCTGGTTTTCCCTAAACTCAGAGTTTCGGGTCACCAGTTAATTTTAACTGGTTAATCAAAAAGAATTAACCGGTTAAAAAAAGATCTTAACCGGTTAACCGTTTAATTGCAGTTAACCGGTTAACCATGGTTAAATGGTTAACGGTGCCAACCCCTATTTAATCTTTTCGTCACACTTTCTTTTAATGCATTGACATTTTTTATGATTTACATATTTATACAAAAGATTAAAAAACGCATTTTTTTACCCAAACAATCTTCACTGGAATTTGAATTAACCAATCAATGTTTACATACATACAAAGAAACAGGTGAAGTCAAGATGTTTGTTACTAATTGGGGTTTTAAGTTTATGCAGTTTCTGCTTTCATATGACACAAAAATTGCTTTACCTTATTTGGATACAAAAAAGTCAAAGTTGCATGATTTTTCTTTATGCACCATCATTATCATGGTGATACAATGTTATACAAAATAGTCTAATTTAACATTAACACTAATACTAATACCATAGTAAACGATAGTGATACAATAATGTTATATATACAAAATAGTCTAATTTATGAAAACAAAAAAAAAATGCTTTCGACAAATTTTTTCAAAATCTATTTACTATCATGAAAAATCAAATCAATGTCGACTAATATCCATTAGACCCTTTTCATTTAACAACATCAATCTCTTGTATTCATTTATCACGTCCCTATCCACCTTCAAGGAATCGAAGTCGAAATCAAAAATGTCCAACGAATTCCAGGAAGGAGATCGACTCATCGCCACATAGATCTGACCAGGAGCAAACATATTTTGATCTATGGTCAAGG